AGACCACGGAGGCTTCATGGTTGAACAGATTCAAATACCACCAGATACACTCTATTACACAATAGGTACGGCTAGAAACAAATAGGTGCATATAACATAAATCAAGGTAGCCGTTAACACTGTTAAATCATATATAAATCATCAAAGAAAGGTAAGTACAGTGTTCGAATAAAGGACTGAATAAATTTCTTTATTCATTTATTTACAGGACTACATTCGTTGAGAGCTATGCTACACGATGAATTTATTCAGTCCTTTATTCGAACACTGTACTTACCTTTCTTTGATGATTTATATATGATTTAACAGTGTTAACGGCTACCTTGATTTATGTTATATATATATATACGCTCCTTACATTGAGATGTGTATAAGAGACAGTATATATATATATTATAACATAGGTAAGGCGGTCGTTGGTTGATTCGATCCGGATTTTTTTGTGAGTTTTCGTATTTTCGTATAGTAACTTTAACTGTAACGTTTAAATTTCGTTCACAAATTAAACTTTATGCAAATATGACAATATGACTCGATGTTCAATATTGCTAATGCAAATTATTTTTCATACAGTAGGCCTACTTTGAAAGTCTGATTAATGAAACATCAGAGTTGCATATTAAAATGAAATAATGAAAAATTGTGTGTGCTTTTTTAAATTACCGTATGAATTATATGTCTTTAAAGACATACCGTACTAGTTGCATTAATTATCTGTAGTAATGCTTTCACAAAACGTTTACACTTTTTAAATGTCAACCAGACAAAACAGTAAAGTCTGATTTGCTTACAAAATTGCCCTTACAGAAAAGGCAGCAAACAGTTGTAAGAAATTACAGAAATGAAGAAGTTTAGAACACTGAAATCAGAAGAACTAATTATGTTGTTCCTCAAGACCATCAGTGAATCTATTAATTATTTATAAATGGTTACAACTGGCAGAAAAACATTTATACAGGACTCCAATTTACGGACCTGGGTTTATATGGTCTTTTGCAGTTTTGGTCTCTTATTATGATATTTGTTAATTTGAGACCACGGAAAATGATCTTTGATTGAAGGTGGTCTTTAATTGGAGGTGTGCAGACGCACAGAAACGTATAATTATATTTTAACATAAGAAAGTTGTTCAGAGGCTGTTTGGATTAAACGAAGAATTGCCAAGCGTTATCTTATGTTTAAAGGCAAATAGGCAAATAATGTGCACAAGACAATGTGACATTCAATAGTATACATGCTGTAATTGACACATTAAATCAAATTTTCTTGTATCCTGAGACAAGATGCGATGGGTGCATACGCACCCTATTCTCCCCCCTAAACTCCAGATCGAAAAATATCAATGTTTTAAGACAGAAAAATATCACTTAATAAAGTTTGATATTCTTTAGTAAATAATTAACATGAACCCATATTAAAAGTACACATTTGGGAGCAAAAGAAGTGTTCCCTCAATTGGAAACCTTTACATTATCCCCTTCAAAAAGAATCCCAAGAACCAAAATTTTTAAGATTGGTTTAATCAAAAAGCACAGAATTTCAAGAGGTCCGACTGTAGAGGTTTTAATGAAAGAGGTTTCCTTGAAACGGAACCATATCAAAGAACATAAATAGCAGAAGAATGAGCTGTTCCGCGTATTTGCATTAAACTTGATGGAACATCCGCCCTCCCGCGAATGGGGTGAAATTTGAATATTTTACTAAGTAGAGAAACTACAGGAAACAAACGAACCAGAGCAGCGCCTTTATTATTACTATATAGTGCCGCTGCGCGGATGGGGTAAAATTGCTCTCCGTGTACCCACAATGTTTTTGGAACGGATGTTGCATTTTATTGGGAAGCTGCTCTATCTTCTGCTATTATTATCTTTGATCATATCTCGAAAAGTACTACTACATACTAGAGAGCGTCCTTTAAAAGAATGTAAACGGCGTTCGTGTCGAACGCTTGTTCGAGTTTCGAGCTCTATTTGAATTCAAATAGGGCGCCCCTAGCTCGTGGAATTATTTCGCATTTCGTTTCATTGCGTGCTTTCAAAATAAGGAGAGTCGGACCTTTGGTTTAAACAGTGAAATTAAATCCACATTGGGAATCAAAAGGCTACTGGAAAGTATGGTGAATTGACACAGGGCGAGATATAAATATATATATAATACATATTATTATTGCCTGACGATCGCAATAGCGTGAAACTCCGAGTAGCAACATTCTGTTCCAGCGACCTCCAGTTCTATAA